TAAATTTATTACCAAAGATCCATTACCCAAAGACTTAGTTAAACAATGTAAATGTATAGAAAACTGTAAGACTAAATAAGCTTGTTCTTGTAGGAAAAACTATGTCACTTGTGTACATTTATGTGGTTGTAACATAAACAGTGTGAGAATTCTTATGATTGAATAATAATAATAATATGCAGTATTAAATAAATGTTCTTTAATAAAAATCAAATGTATTTGATACTACTGCCCTTTCATTTTTTTTCTGCACTATATTCGTACAATTTTGAATTAATTAAATAAAATTATTATGAATTAAGAAATTTAAATAATCAATTTTTACAATACGTCATGAGTTAATAGTACTTAATACTAAATGACATAGCTTCTACAAGAATAAGCTTTAATCTTATAGTTTTTTGTACATTTACATTGTTTAACTAAGTCTTATTACGAAAGATCCATTGATCTTTGGTAATAAATTTAGGTAATAATTCACCTGTTTCGTTTTGGTAACCACCCACTAAACACGAAACGTAAATGAAACTTTGCAAATGAGATGTTTTGCTAAACATTTGAAACATTAACTAGAAACGTTTCTGTTTCATTACAGAAATGTAGCACTTGAAAACTTATTTAATGAAACATAGCCGAAACGTTCCAATTGAAGAGAGTTTGAAACATTACTCGAAACATTCCCTTTCGATCTCGAAAACATAACAGACGAACAACCCTTGCTTTTTTTGCTTATCTTATGGAACATTCGACATTAGTTAAATTTTGCTCCCAATCCCCAATCCCTCTCAAGCGTTAGTTCATTTGCCTTTGTTATACAAACAGACATAAACAGAAAAAAAATTGTGCTGGCATATTTATAACAAGAACAAGTCTAGAAAAAATGTATGTTCGTGACTTCCGTAGACTGCGCGTAATAGCCCGAGTTTATTTGTTTCCCGTGATCCCGTGTGTCGTTTTCAATTCGTAATTCGTATTATGTTAGGTTAGGTTTGCGGTTTGCCAGTTTGCCTTGATTCGTTGTTCTCCATCTTTACTTTGATAATTTGTAGTGTGTGCAGTTGTGGTTATTGTAAGGTGCATATAAAATAATGAATATTAATGCAATATGTTTAAAACGATATGTGTAAAGAGATTTCCAATTTTGCGACACATCTACCTAAACATAGTTATACCCACTACCTATTATAGACGAGGACAAGGGACAAGAACTAAGAAAATGGAATATGGACTATACGTTTCGATATAATTTGATGAGCAACTACTTAGTCAGTGAGAACTATTTGAAATATGGATGAATCAAGTGAAATTGACTTCATTTATTTTATATTTTGTACAAATGTTTATATTTGTTTATGTGTATAGGCATGCTTAAATAAAAGAGTTTAGGTATACCTACAGATATTTATTTTGTCAAGATATCATTTTGTATCCTTATTTCTGCTGTATAATTTATTATTATTATTAAAAGGATAGATGTAATTTTGACTATGCGTAGAAGAAATTGTAACTTTATATTATTTTTCAGTATGTAATGTTATTTGTTTTTCATGTACCTACCATTTCAAGATTCATAATCATAACTAACTTTTTCTAATTATCAGTTCGTCATTGTTACCATATTCATGATGGTCTCAACATTAGAAAATTTCCATTTCAGAAGCGTATTTGAACAATATAAAATGTGTAGTTTTTTTTAAATGCTTCTGATATTGTTTTGTGATATTTTTATTTGTACGATGAATGGCAAAATTCGTAATCCATATTAGAAACTTTTTTCAGTGGCTTCTCAAAAAGAAAGAAATTCTTAGTAAAAGTTGCCGCATCCCCAAACTAGAAGAGCATATTTATTTTTTTTAATATACAATGTAACTTTTTTTAGTTCGAATTAAGTCATTCACAATACAAATAAAAATATCACAAAGGAGTATTAGAGATATTTAAAAAAATACTCACACTATTTATACTATTTCAAAAACGCTTTTGAAGTGAAAATTATCTAAAGTTGAGAGCATTATGAGAACAATATGGTAATAAAATTATTATGTTACTCAAACATTTCTGAAAATATACTGAAACGTAAAACAAAAATACCGAGTGCATAAATGGAACATAAAAAGAATGTTACTGAAACCAATTTTTTGAAACATTTCATTGGAAACGTATTTTGGGGAGGACATCTTGGGTTTCTAGAACGTTACCAGAATGTTGCATGGATTTTTTAGGAAACGTTTCAAGAAAAATGGAAACGTTTCTGAAACATGTCGGAAACTGAAAAATGTTTAGTGGGCAAAAGCTGTGAAATCCAATTATTGATATTGAGGAAAAATGAAACTTTTCCATATGCACGTTTGTAAAGAAGCTCTTAAAGACGTGTAATTTCAATGCATCAGAAGTGCATGGTATTTTACTTAAATTAATACCCATTCCGCTACAATGAAAGAAAACTAATTTCCTAGCTTCATCGGCTGTTTTGCCTTGCTTATTTAATATTTTTATGTTTAATTTTTGCAATGCATCAAACTCTTCGTTGCTTAGTTCAGACATAAAACATAATCTGAATCCGCTAGACGAAATAACGAATCCGCGTATGAGGCGCGCGCGCGGCTCATAGCGCTTTATTAACAATTAAAAAACAAGGCTTTAGAATAATGCGAGTCCCAAAAACTCTTCAGCATCTTGTAGGGGGATGTTTAAACTTTAATTTAGGTACATGGCAACATCAAAAATTACAATTTTTAACTCGGAAATCGGCCGTTGAAAATCGTCATTTTTGCATTTTTAGCAACTTAATTGTTTATAATTTAAAACTATCAATTTAAAAAGCATAGGAACTTTTTTGTTTATAACGTGCCAAAACCTTCCGCAGCGAAGAAACCAATTTTTACAATTTGTTTAAAAAAAGTTTGTTTAAATAAATGGGCACCAGATTTCTGGCCGGCATCATCTTGTTTCATATTAAGGAACATCTCACGAATCTGAATATGCAAAAAATTCGACTCGGAAAAATTTCTCCCACGAATGCGAGGTTTTCGCCTTTTCTAGGAGTTATAGAATTTGAGATATTAATTTAAAAAAAAATGACAGATGCAAGAGTCCGCGGAGATGCTCTAGTAACTATTCTCAGGAAGTAACGCTAAATTATGGAATACCAACAAATTAAAACATTTTAATGCTAAGTGTTTCATTTTTGCTGTTACATTTTGATAATTTCAAACAGCTATAACATTGTTAACTTAAATGAAACACCCTATATTTTTTTACTATGTCGTATGCAAATTGAAATTTCCTTTCAAACCATATAAGCATTGTTAGGGTTGACGTTACTACGTTTAGAGATATTTGCAATTTTCTATTTTTTGAACAGGTTTTCTGGTATTAGAGCTGTTGTCAAATTGGCCATGACCAGAAACACTCCAAAAACAATTGAAATAACTTGATATATGTCAAGCTAGTTGTTAAATTATTGTTGCATCTGTAAAATTTAAATAAAAATAATGCCTGGGGATCGTTTATATTATACCAACGATTATTTTAATTTGTTTGTTATTTATGGAAAATGTGACAAAGTATTTCCAAGAAGATGTATAGAGAAGGAATTTGCTGCCATATGAAGTTATGAAGCTATATTCAAAGAAATCCTATCAAATGAAGTCAAACGCGACATTCTTCAATAGGTACCAAAAATCTAGGTATGCAAAAAACATCAAATTTTACAAACAAGATTTTTAACTGTTGGTACCTACTGCAGGAAACGACTACCTACCTACTCTATGGGCTACATGCCCCAACTATTATTACTAAACAGTTAGTAAAAAAAAAGTTGTTTTTTACGTAGGTAATCAAACTTTGTCAAAGGTGAAGGCAATATATAAGATGTTTCTCTGAATGATTGCATTATTTGCTAATGTAAACATATCAGGTATGTGTTTTTCTATTAATTATTTAAACATTTATTAATTTTATTTTGAATTACTATTTTTTACTAAATGTTCATTGGGTACTAGTGTGATGTAATCCAATAACAGTTGAGATTTAGTCCATACATTAATTGTATTCCGCAGTACGGACAGCTAACACTCTTGCTGTGAAGATTGATGTCTTTTGCGTAACTAGATTTGTTTGAATTAGCTTAATACCTTAATGAAGAGTAAAAAACAATTCTTAAATAGGTACTTTAAAAACATTTGATGAAATTTGCTTGTTAATTTTTAAGCATAACCAATGACTGTTAATATATTTCCATTTTCTAAAACAAATTTATTTTCTATAGAATTTGTGAAATATTTACCTATACTATGTAGGTATATTTTTACGGCCTTGGAAAAATTATAGTATCTTACATAGATGCATTTTTGGAAATGCAAGAACATAATTCTCGAACACTGTGTATTTCAATGCATTTAAGACGAACTATTTTAATTTGAAATCTATAGCAAAGATCAAAATTTCATAAGAGCCAAAAAAATTTTTGTAAACATACTACTACCACATATCTAACCCTACTACTACTATATTGAAAAATTTAATTGTCATAGTCGCACGAACAATAAAGTAGAAAATATTTAAAAATTTAAAGGGTGGGGAGGTGAGGACACACTATATTCTTACATATTCAAGAAATATATTACACTTAAATAAACTAAGATACTTATGTATACCAAATAGGAAGTCTCTAGGTAAATGTTTTAGAGTTGTTTTTGGTACAACATTCAGTGGGGCTAATTTATTTGAGACACCCTGAATATAGAGTATTAAATTTCTTTTTGTTTGTCCTTGCATCAAACTGCTGTCAGCACTACTAGTAATTTTAATTTTTCACTGAAAAAATTTATTTTACCAATTTTATTACTAAAAATATTGGATAGCTTAGGTAAATTTTGCTCTAAAAAAAAAAAAATTAAATAAATAAGGGCCCATCTTCACACCTTAATTTCATAAATATTTTAAGTGCCTCATTAAATTTAAAACAAATAATAAAAAGACTACCATACTACAAAAATTATTTATTTCTAGCCATCATCAATTTGGCGTTTCCATATAAAACAATTTTATCTTGAATCTTAGTAACACAGCTGAAATCTACTTTAATAATTTTTCTATCTTCTACAACATGTACAGTTATCTGCACAGTTTCTCCCACAAAGCATTTATTTGGGAAATTTAATATCTGTTGAACGACCATCGTGCCTGGCCCGGGTAATTGTGTACCAATTACACCAGATACAAGGGAATTTAAAAATGCCCCATGGACTATAGGCTTTTCCATGCATTCAGTGGAATGAATGGGGTTTGTATCGCCACTGATTCGTTTGAAATCTTCTATATCCTCTTTTGTTATTTTTCTTGAAATAGTAATTTTATCACCCACTTTATACGTTCTAAATTTTGATAGGACATTTGAGAAAGTTCTTAATACAATCATTTTTCCACCAGTTCAGAGGGAATATAAGTCTGCAAAAACACCTTGCCTAAATTTTTTAAACGTGGATTTGAACTAGCTTCGTACTGTATAACTTTCTGTTCTATTTCTTTCGGAACAATAGCGTGTGACTCAAACAAATAAAATAATGTTGTCAATGCATTTAACGATACTTCTTCTTTCCTATGCAGTAAGAATTTGGAAATAAAATTAATTCCATTTAAGGAAATTATATACTCCTTGCATTCTGGATCTGAAAAAAAGTAAGAATATAGTATTTACAGTATTATACCTTCAACTTAATGTTGATATTTTCAATAAGTGCATTCTTACCACATGATATATTACACAAGCCCGATAGAGCAAAATGGATAAGCTCCTCGTCGTCTTCTGATAGTTGAGCTAAGAACAGGTCAACTAGATGCAGTTGCTTCATATAATCGTAGTTTATTGGGTCATACGCAAAATTTGCTAAATTTGCTAAAGTTTGCCTCTTGGCTTCTGAAATTAATGATACATATACATATATACACAAGTATTTATCAAATCAAAAACATACTAAAACAGATTATTAATAAAAATAATACCCAAAGATGTTGTTGTTGTAAATTCATGAATAAGTTGTTTTAAAAATTCGTATCTTCCAACTCCATCTTTACCAGTTTTTTTAATTAATTGTTCTTTTCTACTGAACATAATTTACTGGTAACGTTTAACGTTTGAGGAACTAATGTTTATTTTTTTGAGGTTATCTCTGATTGTACTATTCTACTCACCTTGAAAATCTACATAGCTTTTTGGAGTGGAAGTGGAAGAGACAATCAGCAATACGAACTACGAACTATTACGATTATGAACCATATGACATCATGCGGCCAAACACCTACAACACCAGGCGTATACCGACATCTTCGTAGGAGAAACAATACTTAACATTTTATTGTAGTAGGAATTTATTATATAGCGCCATTTAGCAGGGCAACCAGCAATACTCAGGACTGCTGCGGTTATTATACTGTTTAAAATATATAAAAGAAAATAAGTAGTTTTTCCATTTTTTTAAGATTTAAAGGGTATTCCATGTTTTAATACCAAAATTTCTGCAAATGACAAAATGAATTATTTTAAGCAATAAGTTTCATATGAATACGAGTTGTAGTATGCTTCCCTTTCGACACACAGCGTTTTAAACATTTTATGAAATATCATTGAGAATGTTTGACGTAGATTAATGAAATAGTGTCAGTATCACCATTGTATAAGTAAATACTTATACAATGGTATCACGAAGAACCTCAAAATATATCAATATATATCTTTCTGTTCGAAAACGAGCTGTTATGACCTGATTTTTTAATTTCAAAATAAACACAGTTAATAAATCGAAAATTATTTTAAAACTATTCGTTCTCTGCAAAAATAGTTTATAAGAATTTTAAATACAGATAAAACAAAACGTCCTTATTCTAATTAACTCTTGCAATATTTGTCCATTTTACATCCACGTATTTATATCATAAAGACATTTATAAATTGTAATTTTATGATAAAATATCCTATTCTGTAACTTTAATGATGTCACTATGGCGTGTTGTATTATGACATGTTATATACAGATACATTATACGTACCTATATAGGTACTCGAATTTCATATTTTATTAAAACACTATAAATAGATTCTTACATGTAGTTATGGAAATTGTTATATTGAAGAAAACATAAAAATTGAGGTTAATGACAGACGTAAATTTAATTTTGTTAAAATCAATTTATTTGTTTGCTCATCAAACTAGGTGAGGAGAAACAGTCTCTCCAAGAACAGGCAGTAGTATTCATCACACGAAAAAACCTCTGCCATATTAATAGACCAGTTGGAGCCCGAACTATGATCTCCATTTCGTGTCAACAATTTCAGATCCTACTACATAGTAGTAAGTCGAGAAATATCTTGGTGTCGTCCGGGTCATATTTGACGTCGATAATCGAGAGTTCAACGTGTCATTCCACATCATTCCAGAGTTGCGAATGAAGAAGTTATTCTAGGTGCCCAGTTCCTGGCCCAAGAGGATGCTCTACTGGACTATTAGCGTCGCTGTTCGTATGTGGGCATAACAAACCGTCTAACCATATATTGGTATCTACAGTTTGAATCATAGTTAATCAACACTAGAATCTCCCTTGTTGACGAAGATGCCACAACGAGACCAAGAAAAGGTAAGTACTTATCTATGCTCTTGCCAGTTAATGACTCCGACGTAAAATATTGCTCAGACAAGGAGAACCAACTTGCGGGCTTCCTGAGCTGTAACGCAACCGAACTGCATTCAGTGGATATGGTCATTGAATGCAGAATGTCGCTGCTTGAACGCTCAGGGAGTAGCTGTAGTTACTGAAGTATGTTAAAATAAAGATTATAATAAATGTTCAAAATTACGTCCTTCAGCATTAATACACAATATTAGTCTTCTCGTTAGTTTGACATTACATGCTCTTAATCTACATCTCCGCTATTATTTTCTATTACTTTTTCTGTAGTTGATCATTTGTTTTATATAATTTATTGTTTGTTAGTAAGTATCTGTGTGAGCAAAGCCATTATAATAATATTTTCAAAAGAATATTTTGTCTCAGTGTGATTTAAATAAAATAATGGATTTTCCTGTTACATCATACATTGCATATTGAAGTCGACATGTCTCGAAAACAAGTAAATACTGGGAAAAACTTTATATTACAAAAATTACTCAAAATTTAATGATCTTTCAGATGGGCCGCATTTCCACGTTCCAGGAATCAAAAAAGTTTTTAGTATCGCCACGCCATTTATACAGAAAGATATAATTCTAACTGCAATTTGAAGCTATTCGAAGAACCAAACAACCCCAGTTTCCGGAACTAAAATAAATTTCTTCGTTTCGGATATATTGGCAGCGGAAGAGTTAAATGGCACACCCTGTATATACCCACAATACAATAAATATAGCAACAACTAACCGATACATGCATATGTATGTAAAAAACAAGTATAATCTGATTGTGAGAAATTATTATTTTAATATAATTAATTGTGTTTTGATTACAGACGGTAATCTTAACATCAAATTGACATTCAACGCTTCAAACGAGGCAATAATAGTCCGAGAGCCAGCGACAACAACATATAATAATAATAATAATAATAATAATAATAAAAATAATATTAATAATAATAATAATAATAATAATAATAATAATAATAATAATAATAATAATAATACATTAATAATAAAATATTAATTTTAAAAAAGTTTACATACAGTACGAACATTTTTAAATTGTATTTTATGTAAATGAAATGATAAAAACTTAACACTTAAACAATGAAATTTTGTATAGAAAGAAATATAAATAGTATAATTTTAACCCGCAGTATTTTTTTACTCATCCTCGATTGTTATATCTCCACGGAAAGAGGGCAGCTATTCACCCTCGAACCATTTGAAAGGTTTGTTCTTCTCTATCCAGCCGAAATCTGTCGTTGGAATCTGAAGATGAGCGTGTGCCCAAATATTTGCAATGTACGTTGTTCCTAGTAAATGTTGGTGCAGCTCAATTTTGCAGGGCGGTAGAACTGATCCGTCGATATTATTTTTTGGAAAATGAAATGAATTTGAGGGCGAATCGAAAGATGAAATATATAAATGTTTCTCATACACGTTTTTTTTGTAAATAAATAGCTGAATAACAGTTGCATTTATGTTTATATAATTATTAGTAAAACATAAAAAATTAAAAAATAATAGATACATCATACTGCAGCAAAAGCTGAAATTTAGCCTGAAGTCAAAATATGCAACGCGCCCGCTCACATAGCGATGCGTTGCACCTTCAACTCGTCAGCTGAGCACTTATACAACGTAAGAACGTAAAAAATTCAGCGGATTTATAATATAATCAACATGTCGACAAAGTCCCAGCTTTGGCGGTATTGGTTTTTTTCCTTATTATTACTTTAGGTGTCTGGGTGGCTACCGAGCTGTGCGAGCTGGAGGTGGACTCAGTGACTAAACTCCAGTCAAATGATAACATAAAAAAACTAACTCGAAAGAAGTGACGCTAAGTTGGTAATTTGCAAAATTACATGCTTTTTCACTTTTTTACTGCCCACGAAAATCTAAACCACCTATCGGAAAGTTAATCATTTTATGTTTTAGGCAATTAAATTACCTACAGTTTAAGGTATCTAAAATCACATTTCAGCAATTTGTTAACTATAAAATAAAAGTTGAACCCGGAAAAATTTTCGAAAATTGAGCATTATTTTTGCAAAAAGCGATGGATGTTGATGAAATTTGTGGAAAAGTCGGTCAAACCAAAGATCAACATGTGTGCCAAAGACCGATTCGATTGACCGTGAAATTGTTGCTCAAGGTATATGCTAATTAATTTCGTTAGTTTCTTTGCTAACTAATTGTTTAATTACTAAACTAAACTAAAGAAATTAATGTCGTAGATATAGATTCCAATTGATCCAAAGAAATATATCGAAAAAGAAAAATTTCAAAAAGTTGAAATTAAGTTTTCCTTTATAACTAACAAAGTAGGACGTGCAAAACGCCGCTCGGGAATTCGCTCTTTTTGAATTAAATAGAGCTTTTAATTGCCTACAACATAAAATAACTAATATTCCGATAGATCGTCTGGATTTTCGTGGACAGTAAAAAAAGTAAAAATCATGTAAATTTGCCACTTTTTGCAATTTGCCAACTTAGCGTCACTTCTTTCGAGATACTTTTTTGATATTATCATTCTACATACCTTTCCTCGTCATAAACTGCAATAAAATGTCTACTAATAATTTTTTCAAGTTTTCAGGTTTTATGATCTATTTTGACTAGAGTATACTAAATTTTAGCGTAGGAAAAATTTTAAGTTTTTAACAAATGACCAACTCAAAATTGTCGCTGACTCCTGGACTATAAAGTTACGCAGTCTACATTGAGAGAAGCACTTAACGAAACCATATTTCAAACGTATCATTAGTATCAATGAAACAAATAAAATTTAACAAACATTATTAAATGCAGGTGTTAAATGTGATTTTATCAATTTGTTATCAAGAATCTTTAGTAAATTAAAATATCATACATGTAAGAGAAAACGTTGATGTTTAGTTTTAACAACTATAATTTGATATCAATTTTCAACATATTACAATGTATCCTTATACACCTTTACCTGAAAGTTGTAGATAATATTTTCTCATGCAATGATATCACGCTAACAGAGTAAATAAGAAAATTGCTTCATCGTTAGTTATATTTTCTTAGTAACCAAATACTGGCTGCTTTTTATTTTAATGCCTGCAATATTACGCAGAAATTTTTATTTTATTGTATTTTATATATGCACTATTTTTTATTTAACTTTATCTGTAATAATTAGTTCAACATTCAATTATAAAAATTTAAAAACATTCAATATGTATCTGGAAAATTGTTATTTGAAACAGGAATCTAAAATTAAATTAACTTTAAACTTTTTAGTCTGAATAACAGAATTACTTTTTTATAATTGATGTTTGAAATCTGTATTTTATTCCTACCCTGTGCTACTTGATGCAGATTAATATTATGCAGTCAAATTTTTAATAACAAAAATCCCGAGTGATTAAAAAAAAATCCTTCTAAAAAAATCGCCACGGGTTATGGCTTACCATGTATGAAAAAAAAATC